TGCAAAACTGCTGGGTTTTCCTTCTCATTCGAAATAGCAAGGGGGTGATTATAGGGCTCAGGAATGAGGCCGGTCTCCGCAGAGGGAACAGAACCTATCGGTGGTACCTCACGGTGAAGCTAGCAGTGACTCATCTGCTCCATTTGGTGCAGAACTGATGCAGCTTTCATCTGCACATGCAGGAGGCAGATGAATAGATGCATTTGCTAATTTGATGGGGGGGGAGGCAAAAAGGTGCCCTTCAAGGAGCCAGGGAAAGCTCCGCCTTCCCCTGTTGCTTTGGATGGGACCAGCTCATTGCAACTGGTCAGTCTGCACTGAGCTGGCCTTAATGCAGGAACCAGAACCAGCCCAGGAGGAGTGTGGTGCCTGTGTGCTGCAGGAATTTGGAAGGTTTGTCTGTTCCTTTTTCTCCTTAATTGCTGGTGTCATGGTCTCTGCTCCCCCTTCCCAGCCTGGGGAGGAGCTCGTTGGCTGCCAGCAAGTGGAAAACTCTCTGAAATGGCAAAAATTGTTAAACAAAGAAATAGCATCAGGGAGAGGGAGGGAACAAAGCCTGTTTCTCACAAAAGCCTATTCTCCAGTGCTGCTGTCTGTGTGGGAGGCAGGGAGGGAGCTGGAAGGGGGGGGAATGGGTAGACAGTCAGAGGCAGCAAGGGAGGAATAAATAGTTGTGATCGGCTATGGAGAAGAAAGAGCAAAGGTGGAGAGGCAGGCCATTAGAGAAAAACTTTGTGTGATGGAGTGAATGAGGGAATGGGAGGAGGAGAAAAACCCTCACAGCAGTGCGCACACAGGTTTAATCTTTTTGGAAATGAGGAAAGCCCACATCAGATGGAAAAGAAAGGTGCTACAGAAGTGTTTGATAATGAGCACACTCATGCCCTCGAAAGCACAGGACTGGAAAAGGGAAAGAGAGCCAAAAGGAAATGTATAATTCCCAAGGTAGGGAGTCTGGGAGGCAGCTGATAACACCCCGAGGAGGAATAAGAGCCTTGCTGAAATGGAGCTGCTCAGGATGACTGCCCTGGGTCTGGAGGATGAGGATGGCAGCTACGGGTGGCTGCAAGCCAGCAGGATGCTAACCCTGCTAGCAGTGCCACTGCCACCAGGGGCAGAAGGGGTGCTTCAGCTGCTCGATGCTGTGTGACAGCATCATCCTGACCAAGCCAAAGGGTTTGGAAATGTGCTGGGCAGATCTGTGGCCCAGATTTTAATGCTTTGTGCAGACTTAGCTGGAAGTGTCTGCAGGGGTGGAAGAATGAGGACAAGGTTTTTTTCTTGTTAACTGGGTTTCAGGAAGGCGTGGATGATTTCTTTAAATCAGTGCCCAGTGCATTGCAAGGGGCCAGAGGTGTTTGCTTTGTCCTTTCTCTGTTCTTTCTTGGCTGGATAAGCAGATGAGGCAGGGAGTGTTGGAGTTGTTGACCCGAGGAGACCTGAGAGAAGGTCAGAGTGCCTGATGGACACTGACAGCTTTGGGATCAAATTTGCAGGATGTGCAAATTATGCTACATTTGGAGTCTGGCTTGGCGGGAACAAATAAATGCAAAATGTGTTCAACTGTTCACATAGTCCTACAAGGACTGAAGGACAAAGCTTCCTGGTGGCTAGTCCCACTGGTGGCAAGCCGCTATCAGAAAGCCTCTCACATGCACACTTAAGAATTGCTGATAGTGATTTTTATTATTTTTTTTAGCTTAGTTTGGTTTGTTTTTTAAGGCTTTTAAAACCTTTTCTAATTAGCATAAAGAGCTTGCATTGCTTTTAGTGAAAACTCACTCAGAAACCAAAAAATTCTTTAGTGAGCTATTAGTGATGGTGCAGGGCATGGTCATGGGAAGGGGACCATGGCACAGGGCAAAAACAGCTCCAAGGAGTCTGGAGTCCAGATCTGGTCAGTCAGAGCACAGGGGAAAGGGAATGGGCAATCCAAGGTATCTGTGCTGCACACATTCCTCATTTCTCAGCAAAGAGGTGATTTTTTTCATTCCACAATTTGCACACACACACCACATAACCATGGGCTGCGTATAGCTTTCCTAGGGAAAGCAGAAAACATTTAATGGGAGCATCCTATGATTGCACCACATGTGAGCAGCCCAGCTAATGCACCAGATGTAAACTGAGGATAAATTGCTCCCAAACCAGAGGGGCAGTGCCTTGCGAGTGGCTGTGGAAACACAGCATGTAGGAATATGGCTCTGGATGTACTGAGCAGAAAGTTATGAATGGTCTTTGGAGGCACTGGGAAGGAAAAGGTAAGGAAGGTGGCATTTACACGTGAGCAAGGAAGGGAAAATATCCTTGCTCCTGACAAACTGCGTATGCTTACCCACCAAGATCCGGGCCACAGAGAAGGTCTTAAGCTTGGTGAGCACCTGCAATGGTGTTTGTGTGCTAGAAGGTGCATATTATTATTTATCTATTATTAACTAACATTAAACTATTTAATAATGATTATTTATTTATTTATGAGTTATTTATTATAGCTGATACATCTTCACTGAAGCAGGATGGTATAGTGGAGGTAGTTTGGAAGGACACCCATAGTAGACATGGCACGTGTAGAGCAGCTACATGGGAATTTGTTTTTTTTTTTTTTTTTTTTTTTAAACTGAGTGAAGAGCTGGTTTGATTTATTTATTTATTTATTTATTTTCTTCTGGGAGGAGCTTGAAGATAGACTGAATGGCAAATTCAAGGGAAGACTAGCAAACATCCTGCTTAATGCTGGCTATGAAGCCCTGGGTGCAGATTATTGGTCTCTTTTCATTTGTTTACTTCAAAGGTGGCTAGCTGGGATCATCTAATGTCTTTTGGAGACTTCAGGCCCCGTCTCACCGAATAACTGCTCAGCTAAAAGTCATCTGTCCCAAGGGAGGTGTGTAAGGAGGGTCAGTGAAAAGCCTTCTGGAAGTGCATGTCCTATCCCCATGCTACAGGGAGAGCTGAGATCTCTCTCCTGGTCTGGCTGCCAACCTTTCTGATGGCTGAGAGACATCCCAACCTTTACACAAAGGGACTAAATTTTCAGTAGGGCTACGATAGGGTGGATGTGTTCAGCATGGCTTGAGCATGACTCGGTGCAGACAGATGCCAGGACTACCTTGGGTACTGGAAGTGAAACGACTACCCTTGTCTGGAGCTTAGCACGTGTTATTTAATTTCACTGAGATGCTGATGAACATCTCTTGCATGTTGTGTATCCCCATTCTGAGGCTGCAGCTCAGAACTTTGCTCTTCAGATGCATTTTAATTCAAATTTCAAGTTAAATTTTTGGTGTCATCCAGAACATCAGCTTTCATAGGCAGGAGGCAGGATGGGGAGGAGGTGGCCTGACTGGGATGTGGTCCATATGGGCTTTACCTGATCAGGAAAATATTGTCTGTTCAGGGGAAGTATATAGCATACTAGTATCAAGGTCACAAGCGTGATGCAGTGCGGGACTGTGGACTTGTGTGACTCCAAGGCTGCAGCTCCCCCAGTCAGCTCCAGTTGACCAGCACTGGTGAGGGTGCTGGCCATCATACAAGAAACAGTTCCCAGGAAGACCAGGAGAGAGGGCAGTTTCTCGCACCAAGCAGGAAACTGTTGTCTGGTTTTGCTCTGAACCCAAACCTGACATTTCTGAGTAGGTTTCCTCCAGACCAGCATTTCTGCCTACGTGGAGATTAAAACACAGCATTTGTTAGATTATTTCTCTGAAGAGGCAGCAGCACAAAGCACTGCTGTCACCCTAGGACCTTCTCCGTCTGTCATTAAAGGAGAGATCTGCCCTCTGAGCCATTCTGGAAGAAACATCTACCTGTAGGGGTTCCTGAGGAGCCTCTTTATTTCTAAACCCAGACAGCTAATAAGCTCATATTTCACTTAGCAGGCAGAGCACTCTCAGCAGGCCCCTCCAGCACCGAAGGTCAGCGGGGAGGTAATGAAGCAGGTGACTCAGATCTGACTGCTGCCTCCTCTTTATTCACTATTTCCCAAATCTGCTGTGGTGCTGTTGGAGGCAGCCCGATGGTGAGCTGCCCACGGCCACCTCTCCTTACTCCCCTGCATGCAGGGACGTGGTGGTGGGAGTGCCATCTCCCACCTCGTCCTGCCCAGACTGCTGCCTGGATGATATTTTTGCTGTGTTTTTTTTTTTTTTTCTGTCCCTTTGAAGCCCGCTCTGCCTGCTGAATTACCGGGATGCAGCCGTGCTGTTTACTGCTTTCATCAGCTCCTTGGGGAAAATGGCTCCAGCTAACCACCTGCAGTACAGCTGGCGTCCTGCTCAGCTCTGTAGGCAAGCCCAGCTAACCACTGCAAGGAGGAGACAGGAGTGAGAACTCTCAGCCACCGAAATCTTCTCTTTTTTTGACAAATCCGTGCAGCTGCACTGGAGTCAGTACAACATTTGGCAGCAGCTGGCCCTTACCTTGCCTTACAGTAGCATTGCTGACAGCCTTGCAGCTCTGATACCCACGATAATTGAGGAACTAATCCATTTTAATTATGCAGTCCCTGTCTAAATAGGGAGTATCAGACAAGATCACATTAACCACTTGTTAAACTTCACATGAGATACCGCTGTAAAATGAGAAGGGTAGGGTGTGAGTTATGGGCAGGGAGGAGCTATAGATCTGTTTCTCTGTGGAACAGGACGTTCTCACCTTACCCAGGAGGAAGGCGGCTGTGGTGAGCAAATGAAAATTAAGATTTATTTGGTTGGAAACGAATACATCTGGTCACTGACATAGGGCATTGCATACATGGCTAGGATTAGGTTGTCTCACGTGGACCATGGCCATGGCAGCACTAGGTGATGGCTGGTGTGAATGGTTGGTGTTCTCTCAAGTGCAGGCACTGTAGTAGATGCCTTGACTGCAGCTCACAGTTACTAAAGGAAGAACCAACAGTTTTGTGGTTTTTCTGTCCCTCTCCATTGCTTTCAGCTGGGATGTCACTGCCTTGCTCTGTCTTCATTCACCTCACAGTGCTCTGCTTTCTCTTCCAGGTGCTGTAACATGTCCAGGTAGGACACCACCAGTGTGAACATCATCCCAAGACAGTCACTCCAAGCCATCCCTCTCAGGTGGCTCCTCTGCTTCAGCCAGCAGCCAGACAGAGGTGAAGACCTGGGCTTGCTCCCCTTGTGAGAGGCATCCAGTCACTGCCCACAGCACTCGTAGGGATGGATTCCAAAGGCAACGTCCGAAGTGGAAACAAACCCGACGCCAAGGCCGCCAGCTCTGGAAAGCCAGAAAAGCCCAGCCCTGTGCCTGCCACCAATGCAGACAAGAAGGAGACCCCCAAAGAGCAGCCTGCTCCTGCCACTGCCACCAAGAAGGCAGGCGGCGATGCTGCCATCGTGAACAACCACAGCAACCTGAAACCCAGCCCAGCCGCCACGGAGACACAGGAGGCCACCGGCCAGTCCCCTGACTCTGACCACAAGGGAAACAGCTCCGAGGAGTCACCAGGCAGCATCTTCGACAACATGAAGCCCTTGATCATCATCGGAGGAGTGGCAGTGGCTGCGCTAGCTGTGATTGTGGGAGTGGCGTTCCTAGCCCGGAAAAAATGAAGACCAAGGCAGGGTGGGCTGAGAAACCCAACCTGGCTGTACAGCTCCTTTTGAGACAAATGCATGCAGAGAAATTCTATACATATCTATATATATAGAGCGAGCTAGATAGGTCAACAACAAACACCAACCGCAACTCCAAGAGTCTTGTTCAAGACAACTGTGCCAGTTTGACCCGATGTGGGTAACTCCATGCACTCAGTGTGTTCTTTTCATGTAATATATCTTGGCTTATACCACTGTGTATAGATTACAGCTTCTCCTGATCGGTGTAAATGACGGTGTCCCCTCCCCTCCCTGCTGTCCTCTCTGGGAGACACCCCCACCTCTCTTGCAGTCCCCTGTTCTCAAGTCCAAAGTGTTCTTTGTCCCATCCAGAGTCCCTGCTTTGTGTTTTGGTTTCTGTTTGGTTTGTTTCTAAGTTGGGTTGTGGTGAAGAAGATGTAAGGAGAGATGGAGCCTAGTGAGAAGACCCAGTTCACCTGTCATTGTGTGTAGGGCAAAGTGTGATCTCTAATAGGTCTCGTGTACCTGCTGCTCATCAACCCACCGTTAAAAACCCAACTCCAAAGTGCCCCAGAGAAACCAGGCCAGCTGTAGCTGGAAGCTGCAGCATGGCAGAGCTGAGTAAGCAGCTCAGGACATCACACAAGTCTTTTCACTGGCTGAGCTGCCAACTAGAGAGTGAGCAGAGGGACTGTACCGTGACCGACAGTGCAGGTAGTAGTGTATGGAGATACCTGGCAAAATCCCATGCCGATTGCAGGCAGACAGCAGCTGCCGTCTGCTTGGTTTCTTGCACGTTGGCAGCCTTCAAGATCCCACAGATCAACAAGGTCACGGGGGCAGTGTTCAGGGATAGAGAGGCTTTGTTTTGGATCTAGTATTTCCTAAATTTAGGCTGAGCTTTGCAAGATGCTGTGGCCTCAGCCCAAAATCCCTTAAGGTTAGCTGGACTCTTTATTTCTTGGGGGCTCTGGATCAGGCTGTTCACCTCGTGTTTTCCCACTGAAGGCTCTGGCCTCTCTGCAGATGAGAAGGTAGGAAAACAGGGAGACACAAGCAGGTTTTAGGGGTGGACAAGAGCTGGGACCCGATAAGAAATAACACTGACCTGCTTCACACCAAGGAAACCCTGGTCAAGGGCACTGGAAATCCATCTGGTGATCCTAGGGTGATTTCTCACCTCCCTCCTGTGAGTGGCAGGGATCTGTGATTCCTCTACATCTTGGAAATGGAAACAAATTCCCAATGCTGGGGAACAGCCTGATTTCATTGGTGAGTACCTCAGATCTAAAGCCAGACCTTGCAAGAAGGAAGGCAGGCGACCAGAAGGTGTTCGGTGCATTGGCAGATGACCTTCGCCTGACACCAAGAAGCGGGCAGATCTTACTCTGAGAGTTTCCACTAGGCTATTTTGGGCTTCCGTGCTACTGCAAAAAGGCTCTTTACCTTGCTCTGTGTTTTTAAATTAGGTCAGAGCTCAGATGAGGTCAGAGATTAGATGAGGTCAGAATCACAGGCTCTCTGGAGCTCAGCAGCAGTTGCAGCCAATGGAGTTTTGCATGAGAAGGTGGGGTGAGTTCAGCAGAAATCAGTTAAAGAGCCACGTGACATGTCTTTGAGCCTGGATGTATAAATTTGGTGGGTACTGGGCCAGAGAAAGGCCTTGGGTACTGTCTTTGCAGTACCTGCTTCTGGCAAAATTACTGGATAGCATGGTGGATGTGTATAACCCAATCTGGTAATTCTTCTCTTGGCTCACATCCTAATTTGCCTCCAAATTTGGCCTGATGGGTGCATATGGCTTCCCCAGATAAAAGCCTTTTTTGACACAGTCTGGCCATTCCTATGCTGAGCTTTTTCATCCTCCTCTTTTCCCCAAGGCTCATAAAATATTCCCAAAAGGCACGCAACCTCTGGGAGTATCAGATGCTCTCTTCTGATGAACAACAGGCTGCTTGCAGCTTGAGTTTAATGTCTACCTCTACTTTTACCAGTACAGAGACAGGAGATGGTTATGTTGGGTTCACGGTGGTTTTGGTAAGAGTGCTAACAGCCTCAGGGGAAATCCGGGTAGCTGAAAGCACTCTTCCTCTGTGTTGTGCACATGCCTCCTAGCAGCAGTGCTGGAAGCAGAGGGTCCATGGCTCGGTGCCTCTACAATGCCACTTTTATCTAAAGAACTGATTTCCCCTCGTCCTGTTTTGCAGATGTTTAGTGGTTTACTTTATTTTTTATTTTTTATTTTTTTTTGTGGGTGGGAGAAGGGAGTGCAAGCAACAGAGGAGAGTGAGAGGTATTGGGGAAGCAGAGATGTGAGACAGAACATAACTCAGCAGCAGTCCCAGCAACGCTCCCTTGCAGCAACTGTGGGAGGGCCTTGCAAGAGCACACAGTGGGGCTGCTGCATCTCCTGCCTGCACCTAAACTGAGAGCCTGGGGTGCTACAAAGCCCCCAAACCCCGGCAGCGCCCTTGGTGCATCCTCGTGCCATGCTGGGGTGAGGCCCCGTTGCACACCACCTCCCCCTGCTGCTGCTTGCACCCTGACCTGTGCATTCTGCTTTCCTCATGAGGGAGGTCTTGGTGCACACACCAGAAGCAAATTGCAGTGCAGTGCGGACAGGAACCTCATCTATGTGACTGGGAGGACTGTGCCCAACAAGTACAGGGTAACGTATCCAAACGAGTGGGGTTTGGATACAGGGATGGCTATTGCTGTGCTCCCCTTCCCTCAGACCTCTGGGGAAGAGATTTCAGCTTTTGGCTGGAGGGAATTTTGTAAGAAATTTTACTTATGTTGCCCATGAGGAAGGGAATCCGGCTATCCCTGTTCTGATTCTTGTTTTGCCGAAGTAGGGCTGGTGATTTTCAGACATCAACTTCTGTTTTCAAGTCCTGTCTTCAAAAAAATATTTCTATCTGCCCTGTCTGTTCCTCCCTTTCAACCCCGGATGTGGGATTTATTTTTATTTTTAAAAAAGCATTTTTTTTTTTTAGCAGTCTGTGGCATTACAGATGCAGCATCTAACCATCCTGCATTGGCTAGCATAGGTAGATGCAGGGGGAGGAAAAAGAAACACCTGCCTCATTTGAGTGCTTTTTTTTTTTTTTTTTTTTTTTCTTGCTTGTTTTTTCTTTCTGAAGCGTTTTTGTGGTTTTATTTCCTTGGCTTAAAGTTCAGCAAGGGAAGAGGGGAAAAACAGTTCTCAGCCAATGTGGGCCTTAACCATTTCTGTCCACACCCAGCCCCCCTTGCCCTTAGGGCATGTGGATGGATTCAAGGCCAGTAACTTCATCCACAAACACACCACAGAGATGGTGCCGGGACTGCAGCTCATCCTCTGGGTATGTGACCACGTGCTAGCCCTCGCTAGGCAGTGAACGTGGTTTGTCTTGTCTCATAATGGAACCTCTGCTTACTGCGATCAATTAACACCACCTGCTGTCCGGATCCTTTCTCTGGAGCCCACCTCTTTGGTTTGGAAAAACACCTCTGTCTATGTGTGCGCGTGTGTGTGTGTGTGTGTCTGTACACCACCCTGCCTTGAATATTCTGTGTATGTATGTATACGTGCAGGTTTATATTACTGCAGTCTGGGTAAAGCCACATTCTTTGTAAGGAAAAAAAAAAAAAAAACAACAACACACAAAACAAACCTGGAGATGACCCTTCATTTGTTCCTCTGCATTCACACAAAGTGTCCGTGATGTCTTTTCTGTGCCATTCACATCTCACCATGCAGCACCCGAATTCCTTTTTCTGTCCTGGTTTCTTCTCAGAGCAAAGAATGTATGACGAGCGAACTGCCGAATGTACCATGTGCCCATTGTGCTAGGAGCTCAAAGTCACTGTTCCCCCTCCCTGGATATTCGCGTGGGCTACTTGCTTAAAAATAAGGCACTTTTAGCCAATACTGAACTGTACTGGACTGTGTTGTAGTGCTTTTCACAGTGTGGGTCTAGTGTTGACTTGAGTCAGGTAGATCAAGCGTAGATGCCATACAAGCTCCCAGGCACGCAGCTGGGGCCGTGCACTTCAGTCCTGAATTGCAAACGACATCCTCTTAGCAAACACCTCCTGTTCTGCCTTAATGTGCCAGGCTGTGCGGTGGTTTCGTTTTGAGAAAAAACGTCCAGCGAGAACTAGGCTGAGAAGAGCAAATTCATCTCTCTCAGAATCGAAACGAGATTGAAACCAAATTTGTTGAGAAGTAGAAGGCTTAAATGACTGAACTCGCTGTGCTAAATAAATAGTTGTCTTTTCTCGTACTGAGCACATGCCGTTATTTGCTTGATGTTATTCTTTGTGTGGTGTTTGTGATATGAAGTCCTTCTATTGATATCTCCATGGGGAGAATGAATTAATGCTTAAAACTAGTAAGATTCTGCGCTTGGGTTTTGAAGAGATCTAGATTGCTAGTTTACTCTTGATAAAGTGCAAATTAGAAATTTGGGAAACTGACTTCACAAGTATTGCAGCTTATCTCTAAAACTATAGATTTGGTTATTACACCAGATCCCAGTCTATTTTTAAGGAGCCACACATTTTAGTCAAATACAACGATGTTGTGCTCTTGAGCAACTTTGTAGAAGGCTTTTGATGCTTCTAGCTTTAAGAAAGATGAAATGGGTTACACATCCGCTTCCTCTTTCTCCTGGTTTAATAGACTGTGGTAAGTCCTGCTACTCCTAACAGTTCTGCAGTAGGATGCAAACAACCCTGGAAACAGAAGGATAATGTAGCAGCATTTTTGGGAGGGTAATAATGCATTCTTGTGGCTGCTGTCACACCTCACAAAGCGCTGAGCAGTTGCTTGCCCTGAAGCACTTATTAGCCCCACTAGGTGGAGTGATACAATAAAAATAGGTTTGTCTTTGCTGAATCAAAGCTTAGGGATTGATCCCCCAGCTACCAAATCTAGGGGAATTTTTCCATTGGTTTCAGCATGCTGTGATCAGGCTTTGCGATCTTATCGGCACCAGGGCTATGACTGCAGGTCTCTGTAAAATATAAATGCATTTCAGTGGCATGTTTTACAAACCCGGCCAAAATACTTCTTAGTCTTCTGCTGAGTACAAGGGAAACCTTCTCTAGTATTACCTGAGGCAGCCACGCTTACACTGACATTAGCATTTATGTATAAACAACAGGATAACTAAAACACAAAACCAACCAACCAATCAACCAAAAATACTAAAGCCAGTGAGAGGAGATGAATGATTCTTGACTAAAATTCCCTTCCTTTCCTGGAAATGTCACTGGGTTCAGAAATCTGCCTTTTTCTAACTATTCTTAGAATTGGTTGAAAATATAAATTCTGAGGATTTGTGAAGGAGAAAAAAATGTTCTTGAAGAAATAAACTACATAAGGAAGATAGTAGTAGTAGTAATAATAATAATAATAATAAAAGTCTGACTACGAAGCCATGCAAATTATCCCTTGTTAACTGGATTTCTCAAGTGTTTTTGCTGTCTCTGTTCAATGTTAGAGTTTATGAAGCAAGAAAAAGGCCTGAAGTTTTCCACAACCAACTTCGTGCAATTAAAGGAAATTGCAGGTTTATAATTCAGGCATTTTTAAGGGCGGTGTTCTCTCTTTTCACATGCTCTGTTGTCAAAAAGTCTGAAAATCCAATATAAACCCATTTTGATCCTCCAGTTTGTGACTTTTTGTTAGAGCAGGGATGCTGGTACATCTTACTGACCATACAGGTTTGTTCCCTTCATCGAGGACCCATGGAAGAGCTGCTTTCTGTAGCAGTCAGCAACCACATGGTGTATTTTTCATAAACTGCTACCAGTTCTGCTTTACAAGCTGGGCATCTCCCTTAATGAAGGGGTTGCCACTGACCTGGATAATTAAAATTCTGCATTTAACTTAGTTAAGTTCTTAGTGCTGGAAGCCGGAATTGGGATATTTCCTGATACTTACACTAGAGGTATTTGGCTCTTTACTCGTTCACAGACAAATCTGCTGATGCTGAAGATCTGACCCAGACTGTCAGCACATTTTAGGACTTGTGAGTGGCACTCGATTGACAACTCCACTGCAGAAAGCAGGGAATCCTGAGCAGCAATTTTCTGGGCCAGGGTATGTGGCACCATCTGCGTACTTCAGAATTCATGCTGTGGGTGACAAAGAAGCCAGGAGAGGGTGATATGAGCAGTGTCTGCCTTCTACTGTGGATTAAATTTTGCTGCTCTGTTTTCAGCCCCTATCTATCCCCATGTGGTTCTTGTCCTGCAGTGACTGTTTGGGTCCTATTCCTAAAATGTCTCCTGTCCCCACTTCAACTAGAAATTGGTTCTCTTCCGAATTTCATCTTCTTGAAGTATTACTTAATCATTAATGGGAAGTTATTTTTTAAGGGCAAAGAGCACAGAATATGGCCAATAAGGTCAATGATAGTCTTAGCTCTCATGGTCAATATGTGGTAAAAAAGAGAGTGTACTTCATCTAGGTTCATCTTACTGAATGCTTCTGTCTAGAAGATTGTTCTCCTTGAGCTAGACTATGATTCCTTGAATTTAGCAGCCCAGATGATGCAAGGTGCAGTTGAGGGGACTGCAACCTAACTGAGACACTGGCTTGAAACATGCCCCATGTGCCATTCAGCTTGATTTGGCTGGCTATATTTCAAGACCATTTTTTAGTCTTTTATTGAATCTTGCATTGGTTAGCTCAGATCACATTATCTTGAGTGACCCTGAGGAGTTAAATCTGTGTAGCAGAGGGTTTTTAATGATAAAGACTTTCTTCCTTTCTCATATCATCAGTCCAGCCATGTGACCTGTTTCCTTTTTAAATCCCGAGTTCCTAGACTGTCTGCTCATGCCAGGTCTGCTACAAACTATACAGCTCCACTGGCTTCCAGAGATCTGATTAATTGCTTGTGCTTTGCTGCTGCTTCAGCTACTCAACTGTATTCCCAGGCAGCTCTGCAGATGTGGCCTTTCCACAGCAAGGCAAAAACCACGCCCCAGTGCAGAGGCAGATTTTGGGTTGCCCTACCTAACAGAGCCAAAGTTCAGCCACTTGGCACCTAAGGGGAATGAAAAGACTGTAGTGTAGAAAGGAATGCATGAACTCTTCATTTGCCCTAGCTGCTAAGGCTTGGGGGTCTGAGATGCAAGATATTGCATGCTTGTCTGCCACAGGAGCTCAGCAGAGGATAAAAACCTAGCTGGAAGCTCCCTTTCTGGTCCTTACTCTTTCACATCAGAGAAACACTGCATGGCCACAACTTCTGCTTGGGACTGAAGAGCTGGGGGCTGCCTGCCAGTTGGCTGGGAAGGTGACAGAGCACTGGAACAGGCTGCCCAGTGAGGTTGTGGAGTCTCCTTCTCTGGAGATATTCAAAACCTGCCTGGATGCAATTCTGTGCACCATGTGTTAGGTGACCCTGCTGGGCAGGGGGGCTGGACCGGGTGATCTCTGGTGATCATCTATTCTGTGGTTCTGTATTCTGGCTGCTCAGGAGATGTTAACGCAGTGTGTGCGTACACTATATGTGGCTGAAGCTAGTGCTGCTTTGGTCCTCCAGGTTTTGCACCAAAAATACAGGCAGAGAAGAGAGGTCCTTGAACCTCTCAGGCTGGATCTCAGCTGAAGACAATGATCTGTATTTTTGCTGGCCTGGAAGAATCAGTTCGTGTGCAAGGAACACGCTGCTGTTCTCATCCTCCATTAGCTGCAGGGCAGAGGACACAGAAGACTGCAAGGATTCCTCCGTTTGAGTGGGCTGCTCAAGTTTTGTGAAGTTACACAAGACAACTGGGCCTGGAAAATTTACATCTCATTCAACAAACCATGCTAAAAAGTTGACACAAAGCACACGGTAATAGGACAGATCTTAGTCTTTGGTTTTCCAAATGCATGAGTTTGGCTCTACCCTGCACTGAAGTTCTGCTTGCCGCTTTGGGAAGCATTTGTTCTGTTTGGACACTGAGATGCTGTACATGGGGAGACGTGCTCTCTTTGAGGCTATGCCTTTCTGAGTAAATAGATCTTCTTGCTAAGAAATATAACGTGGATTAAATAGGTTCAGACCAACAGCATTTGCACATCTTACTCTTGCACTCCATTCTTTTCCAGTTCATTGTTCCCAGCTTGAAATTCCCAAATTATTCCATTCCATTTTTCTAATTTCTCAAAAAGCAAAGCCCCAGCGCAGGATCCCAAGAATAGTCACTGCTTCTTTCCATCTGTGCGTGATGATGCTCCAGTACCAAAACTCCCAGGAGGAAGAGAGGAATCTTTAATCATGTTTGCAACAGTAAAGACCTGCATTGTATCCCTGGTTTTGCCACAGCAGCTTCAAGCAGTCAAGTTTCTGGGACAATTTGATAAGAACAAGGGTGCCACACAGATTGCCATGTTTAAAAAAAATAAAAAATAAAAATAGAATCATTTGGCTTTATTAAGTTTTGAGCAGCCCTTCTTAAGCCTGGTGCCTTTTCGTGAGTCACTGGTTAGGACCCTTTCAATTGAAATCTTTAAAAGGTGCATTCTCGACTCTCCAGTGAAAACCAGCTCCCTTCTAGTGGTAGGTGCAGGTTGTTTACAAACTTGTGGAGAAACCAAAATTGTAGAAAGGGAACTCGTAGGTCAGACTACAGGGGATTTCTTTTTTTTTTTTCCTTTTGGTTTGCTTTGATTCTATTACTTTGCCAGGGACTGACCCAAAGGACTTGGAAGTCCGATGGAAAGCTCAACCACGAGCAGCAGGGGCATGCCTGCTGCTAGGCTGGAAGCCACCAGCATCTTTCCAGCATCGTTGGTGGGTTTTGTGTCAGCCCCTGGAAATGTTTTCCAATTGATATTAATTTTAAAATGACATCTTGATTTCTTCCCTGTACAAACAGACCTGCTTGTCACTTACACATATTTACCTGTGTTCAACATACAGGTTTGTGTTTTTCTTTTTATTGTTTTATTTTTTATCATTTTTTTAACTTTCTTTCAAAAACAATATGCTGCTAGATACATTTCCTGGAGGGAAATGGACACCTACCTACACACAAAGCTATAGAGCTAATTTATACCTTGTTGAATTTATAATCTTGTCTATGCTTATATGGACACTTTGTATGGGCTGCAGCTCAAACCTTAAAATAGTCAAGAATTTTTCCTTTCCCATATAGTATTCTATTTACTTTGACTTAAAAAAAAACAAGCGTATAAATGCAATAATGCAGGTAGACTAGAAATACTAGATTGAAAATTAAAGTAGTTTAGCTTGTCCCATTGTGACTGACAGTGTTGTATGACACCCAACGCTGTACCCTAACATTTTCCAGGCTTTCTACGTAGCTGAATCTAGTATTAGCTTTGAAAACCCATTGTATGAGTGGTGGGTGGATGGGTTGGAAACGTGTGCTCTCTACACACTGTATGTTACTCACATCAGAAGCTGTATGGCCACTCCATATGCTGTGAAACTGTAAATGATTCCCAATACACCTGTAACTCTTACCAGGATTGTGAGAAATAAACTATATATAGATATCTATATATACATATAGATATATTGAATAATTCCTCATGTGAGCATCTTTGTGTATGTGGTGTGTGAGTGAAAATGGCTATCCTTCCTCTCACTCCTCAGCTGTGGCCATGTTTCCTGCAGGCTGAATATTTGCTAGGATTAGAGATCCCAATATGAACCATAATGCAGGGCAGTCCTTGCCCCGAATCAACACCAGCCTACCCAAGGAAGGTAGGCAAAGAAAGATTATTTTTATTATTCCCAGAGAGAGATGAGGTGTAGAACAGCTAAACGACTTCTTCAGAGCCACCCAGGAAATGCCTCCTGACTCCAATGATCCCCATTCTGTAGGCTGGTCTCCAGTCTTTGCTGCAGTATGAAATGCTCTCCCCACCAAATAAACTCTCTGATTTGCTTGGTTTTGTTTTTAAGTTGGCCTGGGATTGTCCATCCTCACGAGGAGTAAAACGAGCATCCGTCTGGTGTCCGTGTCTGACGAGAGGGGAGGAGGTTTGGCAGTACATGTCACTGCGAATAGCGGCCATCATGCTACATGCTAGCTCCAAACGGGGGCTCTGCAGGTATCTGCAGGCTTTTGGAAGTGAGTCCTGCAAGAACTGGGAAGACAAAATCCCTCATTGTAAATCCCTTGGGGCCAGGAGAAAAGGGCAGCCTTTAGTTGCCAAAGCTTTAATTGCCTGTGATTCTTGCTGCAGAAACACAGCTCAGGGCTCAGGTTTTTAGCCTGTCTTAATATTCAAAAAAGCAGAAGCATAAATAAACTCTTGTCTGAGTCCAAGTCCTGACTCTGAGGACCTGCGACAGGTGGATTCCTGGCCCTCCAGCTAGGATGTGTAAAGCATCACATATATTGGGACAGTGAGGAAGCGCAGAGCCGTCTGGGCAGGGGTGGAAACCTGCCCTGCCCTACACGTACTGCGTGAGAGCATCACTGCAACATCATTGGCAAATGCACAGCGAGCGCAAGCGTTTTCCAGAAATGTTCTTGCTCAGTCCTGAGTGTCCCAGCGGGTGGGCACGGCTGTGATGTAGCTTATTTGCAGATGCCCTATGGAATGCAAGGTACGTCTGCACACAGACACGTCTTAGATATTCCCCATCCATCCTTCCTCACTGTCCTCCACCTTTTTCCCTGCACATGTTAACAGAAATTTAAAAAGTATGAAAAGCAGAGGCAATGTTTACAGTTATCTTAAGCTATACACTGCTTTTCCCCACTCCTTTCAATTCTAGCCCTCATTTAGCCAAACAAAACGGTGTGATTCCAAATCACTGCACTCTAAACAAGAAACACTGTGGTTATGTTTTACCAGACCAGGTTCAAAGAGGAAGCACTCAGCTAACTTAACATAACTGAAACATCCAGGCTCTACCAAACTGAACAGTCTGCATGAGGTAGCAAATAATTTTTATTGTCCTTGTTATCCTACTGCAGTGCTAGTTACTACTCATGCTTGTTACCCTCCCAAAATAAGCAGACAGAGAGACTGCAAAGCTCATCCAGTGCTTGCTGGAAGAGAAATCAACAGAAGAGCATTTACAAAAACTACCAGCACGTGCTCTGATAAAGCTGAGATTATGGCACCTACAGAGCAGTGACCAAGAATTAAGACGTCACTACATAGTCTAATTTCCTAGGAACTGGGGCTCTCTCACATGCATTTTTTTCTTTATGTCTTCACTTTCAATCATTGTCAAGTCCTCTAATGCTTTGTATTTTGGACAGTCTGGGGAGGATGCTAAGAGCTGATGGAGTAGGATTTGAGACAGCAGTTGCTTACTGCTCATGGATTTAAAAAATAAAATAAAATGGACTCACAAGTAAGGAATAAGGAGCATAAATCCAGTGCTCAGTGCCATAAAGGCTAAAGCTGCTGGAGTGTCACCAAGCTCCCCCCACAAGGTGGCTAAGCTGAATAGTGCAAGGTACCTTTGAGTTTTGCTTGGTTTTAATCTGGTTCTGGTAGTTAAGCTGGAGTAATGAGAGAAGAGCATCCAGGTGTCTCTGCAATTAACCAGTCTGCGGTTTCAGAACGCACTTCTGGAGAGGAAAGGAGACTGACGGGCGGGTGATTGAACAGACAGACAAGCAGACAGTATGATGGCATGATCTTTATTTCCTTTAAGAAATCTGGCTGGATATCAGGTCTCGTCAAATAAATAAACAAACAAATAATGGCAGAATTGTACTGTCTTCATTTTATACCCATCATTTTGTAATGGCATTGTTTCTTTATAATGCTCTAGCAAACATCAAGACGTAAACCTAATAAATTACCACAAGGATGAAAAATGCAGAAACTAAACAAGGCTGGCAAAAAAAATCACAATTCTTCCAGTGACACATAGAGCCAAAAGCAATGGCATCTGCAATAAATGCGTGTTTTTCTTGAGGAATAATATTAGTCATTAAAAATCGAGAGTAAATACAATTAAGATGATCTGAAAGAGAGATGAAGGATGGGAAGGACACTCTCAGGAAGGTTTGGGTGGCTTTATTTAGTTCTTTCTTATCTCCTGCATCAGAAACCTGTGTTCATGGGGCTTCATGGGGAGGCTTTCGGTACTCAGCTGGCTGAGGAGGGATTTCAGAAGTTGGAGCAGGATCGGAAACCCAACATCTCATCAGGGCATCGAACACTTGCTGACATTGCGACGCTCACATCTGCTTTTCCATTTCCAACACGCTGACACTGCCTTCCCCTTCACAGCCTGGGGTGGCCAACACATGCCTCCAGTCAGTATCAATGTGGGGTGGGAGGGTATGAAACTAATGAAACTAGCACAGAATATCCACACAAAACCCGATGAGGGGAAGCACTGAAGCCAACAGGGCGCTGACTACGAGGGGAAACACAGGGAGCGGCCACCACAGGGTGCGGGGGCGGCGGGCGGGAGGTTTAAAAGGCGGCGCGGGCCGCTCATGGCCGCTCCCCTCACGGTCGCTCCCCCCCTTCGGCTCCCTCTGCGCATGCGTGGCTGGGCCGCATGAGGAGACGGCCGCCGCCCCCGCCGCCCGGCTCCGCCATGTCGGAGCGGCTCGGCAAGCCCACCTGCCTCATCGTCGCCAGCGCCGCTGCCGCCGGTGAGAGGCCGCCGGGTCCCTTCCTCCTCTTCGTCCGGGGGCTGCGCACCCCCTGTCCCCTTCCTGGGCTTCCCAGGCACGCCTGAGGGAAACGAGCGCCTTCCCTTCTGCCCTCCTTCCCCTCCGTGTTGCGCCCCCAGTCCGCAGGGATGCGGTGCTCGCAGCCTTGTTTCTCCCCCAAGGAGGCTGTGGTTTCCTCTTAAAATACCTCTCTGAGATCCTTCAGAGCTTGTAGGATGAGCAGGGAAGCCCGAGTCTTTGCGCCTCGCTAGGTGAAGCGTGCTGGTGTCGGGGATGCTAAAACACCGCTGTGCTTTCCTCACACCGCCGGGCTCCTCTCTTCCAGGTGTGTCAGCCCAGTCCTTCCTTCACTGCTTCACGCTCACCAGCTCTGCTTTCAACCTGCAAGTCGCCACCCCTGGGGTAAGTAAAAACGAGTAAGTAAAAATCACAAAGACTTTTGTGATTTCAGCCTGGAACCAATTGATATCTCCATTGATAAGGGAGAAGTACGCTAATTTCTTTTCTTTGAGATGCTTTATTTGCTTACAGATTAAGACACACTTCTTTTTACTGCTGATTTCTTCATATTGATCCTGAATATGAGCATGCCATAGTATGGTTCCAAACTTCTCTGTCCAGTATCCTGGACACTCTTAACAACGAGCATCCAGACAAGTATTTGAGAATCACTTCAATGGAAAAACTTGGAAACTTAAGGTTTTTGAGAGCTAAAGTCTCTCAAAATCCTATGTTTATCTGTCAGGAAACATAGCAGAAGTCTGCAGTGATACTAACCACAGTCTTTGAACCATGTTTCCACTAGGGGAAGTCAGTTGATTTTGTGGATGTGAATGAGAGCAATATGCGCTGGATACAGGACTTCCGCATGAAATCGTATGCAAACCCTGCCAAGTTGGAGTCAATTGATGGTAAAGTCTTCACTGTTGGCTACTGTGTCATTTCTATTTATGAGGGAAATATGCTTCTTTGCGTTAGGTCTTTAGAGGATACAGAAAAGGCATAAAAACTTGTGTATTAAGAGGAAGCTGTGGAAAGTAGTTTATTCTTACTTATCCTGCATTGGTAATTCCCTCTTACTATTCTATAGTATCATACATATTAGTAATTCTTGAAATAAACATTTTCCTAAAGTAGAAGCTAGCAGACAGTGCTTTTAAGCTTTGTGTAGGTAAGAATGTCTCATTAAAAAATTGTGTTCTATGTTTTAAGAACCACCTCTTTTTCTCTGTTCCACATAGATCTTGTAGTTTGCTTAGTTCTTCCAGTTTGTGAAGTTTCTGAGTGACTCAGGACATCATCACATAAGTTTGTTAAATCTGAAATGGATTTATGGTCAGTTCTTTTATTTGTATTAGTCAGTTTCTGTTCCTTCTTATTAGGTGCTAGATACCACGCGTTGCTGATTCCAAACTGTCCAGGGGCTGTGACTGACCTTGCAAACAGTGGGTACCTGGCTAAGATATTGCAGCATTTCAGCACTGAGAATAGTAAGTGAACATCATTAGATATCTTATTAAATCAAGTAATCCATACTACCTTGCTATTGTTGCAAGACTGTTACCTTCCAGTGACTTGTTCTGGGAAGTTCTTTACATTGTAGTTGTAGAGTGTTGCAGCATACAGAACTGGAAGAGCTATTTTAGAAAAATGTATCTTCTCTTAAAAAGCACTATCTTTGTGCAAATCATAAAAATAATAACAGTAGCTTTGGAATGTGTTTGTAAGAAGAAAGTTCTCTCCTCAGTGATGGAGAAATTGCTCTCTGTCAGTAGGGCTCAAGGTTTAGAGTAAGATTTGGGATGTACCAGAATAGTCATTAAGGCCCCAATAGATCAAAGCTTTTGGCTATTTGCTGATGAGCACAACTTCTCAAATATGCTTTGATTTTTTTTTCTCTAGAGCCTATCTGTGCGGTTG